GGTTTTTTATTTCTTTTGGGTATCTTTTCTTGGCTCACGTGTTGGCTGAGCGGGGATCTGTATTTGATCGGTCCAATGTTAATTCCAGTAATGAGGAATGTATATTCACTTCGTTTTAGAGATGTGAATGTTTGACTTCGCTGGTCAGCAGAAGGGGGAACTTGCTGCCTGTTAGATTGAATTGGGAGGAGGTTAAACGTCATTAATAATGACGTACACAACGGTGTAGAGATTTCACAAACACAGTCGTATAGAGCTTGCAGCATTTTTTCTTTTCATTATTTGATGCTTAACACTGTATCCGTCTTTATTCGTTAGAGTCGCAGTTACTCTTTACAGCACATATCGGAAGATCTAGCACACATGCCAGCTAAATTATATCAAAGTTGTATTGTAGCCCAGTGCTGTTTAGAACTGGCCTACCCTTGTATCCTTGTTCAGTGAGGATGCAGAGTATTGGCGCCCTGTTTTGACATTTTCCTCTTTTGTGTTTCATTATCGTGGTTCTGCATTTGGTGCTCACTTGCATAATCTGCTTTTCTATTATTTTTTCGCAGTGGACTGGCAAAGTTTATTCCCGCTGATATAGAGAAACAAAATGCAGCTTCCGATTTTCCTGGACTGGTCTCAACGGCCAGGTCGGGAATCATGTTGTGCTTGGGTAGGATTCGCACAGACTTAACGTAAATTAAAGTGGTTTTTCCTTATTTTGACGGAGTGACTTATTTTCGAAGCTTAATTGCAGGGTTATCACACATCCGTCCATGATCTCAGCGGTGCGTCATCATCGTCTGCAGCAGCTCAGCATTCATCTCCGGACAACCACCCTTTAGTCTTGGGCGGGGCGCCCCCTCTGGCGGCTGGGGGCACCCAAACGTCCATATCACTAACAGCCGTCAGTAGCCCTTCAGGAAGGTATAATTTTTTGCAAAAATTTTCTTGAACAAATAATTTTCAACGGTAGTTGGACTTGAAGAGAATTCAGTCCTCACAGTTTTTCTTGTACTATTGATATTGATGCGAAATACACCAGTGGTGTAGCACAGTGAGCTTTCCCTTGCGCAAAGCAGCACAGTGAAACTGGAATAATAGGAATGCATCGCCTGTAGAAGCGCGCAAGATTCGTCAAAGAATCGCTGAAATGAATTGGGCAGTAGTAAAATTGGAGAGTGGAACACTGGATCGGGAAATGCAGGATATTGATACTGCACTGAATTGGAAAAAAAATGCGCTTAGAATGAAAAGGGGTGGGGGG